GTGCACAAAAGCACTATACACACAACATCCACCAAAAACTATTAGGAACATGAGTAATATCTGACACCTCATTCCCTCCGTGGACTTGTTACTGTAGTTCCTCCACAGTTGGGGCAGACCCAGACACGCCTCCAGGAGGAGAGAGGCAAAGCCGAGGAGCTCCACGTAGAGAGAGAACCCGAGAAAGAGGAATGTTACGAGGGAGCCAGCCACCGAGAAGGCCACCAGGAAGTAGCAATAGTCTGCAAAGTGGGTCCATCTCCAGAAATGTTGGTAGTCGAAATCTGGGTAAAGAGAGAGAGAGAGAGGGCTGATTCACTTGGCCACCAGGAAATTCGTCTACCTTTGAATCTCCTTGAGACTGTGACTTGGTCAAGCTTCACTGCAGTGCAGATGTGCATCATGGCCAGCATTGTTGCTATCATTATCCCACTCTGAAGGAGGAGGGGCAACTCATATCTCTTCCCAAACCTTTTGGAGAAGGGTGGGAGGGTGGTAAGCATGTAGATAGGTAGGGATCTATAGCGTTACTCACCAGAAGAGTATTCTGAGTACGTTTGCCACGAGTAGCACGAGACACACGTACGTGGAGAAGCCCTCAGCGTCGCGGTGCCGGCGGATCTTGCGGTACTGAGGGATGAACGGGACTATGCCGCCAAACACCATGGCACCGACGCTGATCCACGTGACCAGAAACTTCCCCAATGTGACTAGGTCGCTAACACCCTCTTCTTGGCCGTCCACTTGAGCGTCCATGGCTTTAGTCACTGCAAAAAGGCTGTAGAGATCTCGGACCTTGCAATGGTGTTTTTTTATATATTTCACCAGCGACGGAAGTTGTATTCGCTAAAATAGAACACGAATGAGAGTGCAAAGGTCGGCGTGCACAAAAATGGTGAGTCTGCTGTACGTCTTTCCCAAGTCGCTAACGTCCCCCTTACCCCGTGCAGCACGGACGAGTAAAGGTGCGCAGCTCGGAAGAGAAGGTCGAAGCCGAGCGGAAGGAGAAAGCGGAGAAAGTTCGCGTCTACAGAGAGCTAACGACCCGGATTTTTACCAAGGTATATATAGTCTGCGGTTCTCACACACGTGAATGATTTTCCGCATAGCGTGCGTCGGGAGAGAAGGACGAGGAAGCTCTGAAGCTGACTCGAGAGGTGCTCATCCAGAACCCCGACATTTCTACTCTGTGGAACTACAGGAGAGAGATCCTCACCTGCCTCCTCTCTTCCCTGTTAGCCACACCCACCTCACGTGACCGCACCACTCTCACGTGATCACACACCTCCCTGCTCTCCCCGACAGGTCGGAGGAAGAGGCGCTGAAGGCGTGTAGTGTGGAGCAGTCTCTGACGCAGCAATGCTTGCGCGTTAACCCCAAGTCTTACTGCATCTGGCTACACCGACAGTGGGTGTTGGACCATTCACCACGACCTGACTGGACACACGAGATCGGACTCTGCGACCTCTTCCTCAAGTATGACGAACGAAACTGTGAGTGTTTTCGACGTACAGTTTACAGAGAATGGAGGCAAGGAAGAGAGAAAGAAAGGGGTGATGTAGGGGATAAGGTGAGAGAGGTTGGGAAAGTATAGGGGAGAGAGAGGAATTAAAAAGGAGGGATATTAAATAGACAAAAAAGGGGAAAGGAGTGAAGATTGCAGGTCGTGGGAGAGTGTGAGAGAGAGAATATGACGAGAGCTTGGAATAGGAAAAGGTTGAATTCTCTCTCCAGTCCACTGCTGGGACTACAGAAGGTTCGTGACCTCAAAGGCTGCGGTGCCACCTTCGGAAGAGTTCTCTTTCACTTACGACAAGATTGCTGCCAACTTCTCCAACTACTCCGCCTGGCACTATCGCAGCAAGCTCCTCCCCCTACTCCACCCATCTCCCGATCACTCTGAGGGCGTGGCCGAGACAGCTCTCTTACAAGGTTGAACCTTCCGTTCCACATGAATATTATTTTAATTAAAAATCGTTTTTCAGAGCATGAATTGGCGCAAAATGCATTCTTCACGGACCCAAGTGATCAGAGTGCGTGGCTGTACCACCGCTGGTTGCTGGGGAAGACGGAGCGACCGACTGCTGTGGTGTGCCTCCTTATCCGCTCATTGCCTCAGCCCGAAGCCTTTGTCACCTTCAACCAACCAATCAAGGTACGCTGTCAGTCCTCGTCATCATCTTTGCAGCGCCAAATTTTCGTGATTGTAACATTTCGAGGAACCCCCTTTACCCATACATACCCCCTGTTAGTTTATATATTGCTCTTTATGCAGGGGGCTGAGACTGTGGGTATGGTTGTTGCAGAATCACCTGTTTTACTTACCGAGAAATCTGATTGGCCGAAATCTCTTTGGAGGTTCCCTCTGAGTGATGATGTAATCCCTAGCAACGAGGGGGCTTTCACCGTTACCGTCGTCTTTGGGGAATCGAGGGAGGTGGTGAGTTTGTGCCGGTGTGAGGGTGAGGAGGAGGAGGGGAGGTGCTGGGTGGGTGGGCGTGGTCCCGTGTTTGGCTCCACCCACACGGCGGCGACCTCGTCAGTGCTGGCAGCTGAGCTGGACAGCTGCAAGGAGTTGCTGGAAATGGAACCTGACAACAAATGTGAGTGCAGCTTGCAAAAGAAAGTGAAGTAGATGCATTGCTACTACATTATGAGGCGTCAGAGTAAATAATGCATCTTGAAGTGTTGGCTACAGCTGTTGTTTGTGACCCTGTCTATATTGTAGGGTGCATTCTGACTACCCTGCTTCTCCTGCAAGCTCTTGACTGGCTGGCAAACTCCACCCAGATAGGGGACATGTTTCGACGACTCTGCGAGGTGGACCACTATCGCCAAGGCTACTATCAAGACATGTGTGCGTGTTAATTGTATCGGAATGATGATGTCGTGATGATGTAATCTCTTCATGCAGTGAGTCGGTTCACCATTGAGTGTTTGGTGATGGGTGTGTTTCAAGATGGCCTCTCCCCTGTCTCCCTGTCCTCTCTTGACCTCTCTGGGAAGGTTAGCACATAATTTTCTCTGGTCGGTATCTCAATCCATGAAAAAAATTCCATTAGCAATTTATTGTGGAGAATGTTTTGTGGAGCTAAAAAATTACCTGTCTATGAAAGTTTAGTGCCTTAAAAAATTGCACCTTCATCCTTGCCCTAATGTTCACTAGGGCCTATCACGCCTGTACCACACGGACTACATGCTCACCATCCGGACACTCAACATCTCCAACAACCAACTCTGCTCTCTCAATCACATCGAAAACCTCGTCTCCCTGGAAACACTCGTTGCCGACAACAACCAATTGCAGGGGCTCCCCCCTGGAACCGAGAAGTTGCAGATGTTGAAAGTTCTCTCTATTAGGAATAATCGTATCCACACTAAATAATTGTGGGTATTATTAGTAGTTCAATGTATCCAGTTTCTTTAACAAAATGGTATATACAGAGGTGGCTGACCCGAGGCAGCTGCACTGTGTGAAGGTCGTCAAGGTGCTGAGATTACAGGGAAATCCCCTCTGTGACAGTCAAGGCTGGGAAGGACTAGTGACTAAAGAATTGACTTTTCTTGAACAACTCAATGATCTCACAATTAGCCCTGAATTGCAATTGCAAGGTCCAGAAAACATTTTGTTGAAGTGAAAAAAGTGAAGCTGGCGTAGGACAGCGTATGTGCATCTATAGCTGGGATATATACACACGTAGCTATATAGTGCACGCTGTGTGTTGTAACACGAACTTTCATTTTCAAAAAGAAATCAACCATGATCATTAGCAATTATAGTCTTGCTGGTTTGTAGACACAACTCACAATAGAGGTACACATTATAACATGCTGCTAGTGAAAGAGACGTGTAGTAGAGGAGGCTGGCTTTGACAGCTCTGTGGCTAAGGCAGGGGGCTACTGCTGGCTACAGCCGACATGATTGTGATGACCTCCACGGCGTCCTGAATCTTCTTCATCAGAGCTGTCCTCTCCTCCCAGCCCTCCATCCTCTCCCTTAGTTCCCTCGAAATCGATCATGTCCACCTCCTCTGCCTCCTCCAACAGCTCCTCAGATTGGCGCTTTCGAGGAAGAAGCTCTTCCAGTTTCTGAAGTAAGAAATAATGGAAGAAAGTGTATCGTTTTTCAGAACTTTGACGCTTTTGTATGCGTGCAAATCACTTCAACCCTTGCGGAACTTGGAAATACAGTGGAACCTCTGATAAGGCACTCTCCAAGATAGGAACGACCTCTCTACAAATGACACTTGTTTCAACCCCATGCTAATATACACCAGGCATATATTATACATTATACACCAGGCATTAGGTATATATCCCTATATACTAGTGTATATACATACCTTCCTTTCTTCGTCTGAAGGAAGGAAGCCCGATTGTGGAAACTGAACGGTGAACTTGATGTACAGGTTGCCCTTGTTTGTTGTGTGTCTCTCTGAGGGCATCCCCCACTCCCTCACCCCCTTCATTGTGTCTGTGAGGAGAGGGAGGGGAGAGAGGGAGGAGAGAGAGAGTTCTACAGTGATTATATTTCAGAAGGCTCCGTCTCACATATCAATGCGTTTGGCCTAGTTTTCTAACTCTAGAAGTCCTAAGTCACCATTATTAGGATACTAAGTGTATTCCGCTACCCATAGAAAGTTTCCTGTGAACAATTAGCTCTGTAAACTTTTGGCAATGGCTCTCTAACAGTTAAATCTGCGACAAATTATCTCGTACGAAACTAGTTGCACATTGAACACTTGCAGCTGGCACTTGCGTAAAACGCCTGCTTTTTATCACATTGGCAAGCTCCCATACATGTGTGTTTGTATAACTAAAGAGCTGGAGAATTGTCAGTCTTCATAATTGTAAGGTCTATCAGTTGAGAGAATGTGAGAGACTTTCGATGCCAATCTCCACGTGGACTGGAGGAAGGCAGAACAACAGTCTCTACGGTTGCTCTCCCTCTCACACGTACCACACTGATCACATAGCCAGGATCAGCATGGCTTTGAAGAGAGAGGTTCGCACGCACGCACACACACACCCACGCACTGCCTGCAGATACTGCACGACTAATGCAGATCAGAGTGTGAGAAAACCTTTGCAGAATCTCAGCAAATTCGCAAATTCCATACACGATAGTTCCCCACTACTATATGTTAGAGTGCTTGCTGTATGTATGCATGTATGAGGTGGTCTGTGGCTGATAATATAGCTCCCCTGGACTCACCAGGAGCGATGGCCTCGCCAGGATTGGTCTTGACAAGCAGCTGCTGCCCGTCAAGATGTTTCACGACAAATTCGCAGCCACACAGCGCCTCGTTCAGTGTGATTGTCTTCTCCATCATCAGATCGATCCCAACTCGTTTGAAGAGGGCGTGGTCTTGTTCCTGGAGGATTACGATGAGGTCGCCAGCATCTCCGTCGGGCTAATGAAGAACAATGGGAGGAAGAATCAGAGAGAGGGTATTAAAACATGAACAATGAACTGATGTCTCCCTGCAGCACGGGAAGGAAGGCCGAGCCAACCACCACACAGATTGAAGTGCCGAGGGCGTCACATGATAATCACGTGACTAATATAGCTGTCCGTGAACAGCTTGCATGGCAGGGGGAGACCCACGCAGCTTGCCTTGTGACAGCGAGCCCAAAACACAGGAAAATAGTGTATACTCACAATTTCGTCTGCCTTTCCTCTGAACGGTATCTTCTGATTATGACTCATCCCTGGAGACACTATCACCTGAACAGAGAGGCACATCTAATTAAAGCCCACCTGCTACTCCAATTAATGCCCACCTCTAATTTTTCGTCAATTTCGATGACGCGTTTTCCCTTGCACTTCTTGCAGCGATCCTTCTCTCGAATGAAGTCCCCCGTACCCCCACAGTCTCCACACATTGACTGGATTTGCTGGACCATACCTGGACCTATGGGTCTGTGGGAGACTTGGATCCCAGAGCCCTTGCAGTTACGACAGCGGACTACTGTTCCATGCTTTCCACCAGTCCTGCAGGAAAAGACGGAGGAGGGGAGAGAATGAGCGATTTCTTACACTAATCATCTACCATACTATATTCTGCAACAGTATCTCGTATCAACTCATATCCCATGCCCTTTCTCTTTATGTCCTTAGAATAGTATGTGGCAATACTGGACACATGCAATGGCTGTATATAAGAGAGAGGAACTTACCCACTACATGTCTTGCAGAGGACCTTTCTCTACTGGGCCAGCGCTGTACGTACGAGCGTGCGTACCGCAGCGAGCGGTCACGGAACGTTTAACGCCCACGCTCCGCGTGTGCTCACCGGTCGACGTGCTGGGTCCGGAGTGACTCTCTGCCGGCACAGGATAGGCCCCTGTAGCTGTGCGTGAGGTGTGAATTTCCCGACGACAATGTGGTCTGTGCTGAGGACAGGCGAGGCGCGTAACACGGATGGGGCAGGGGAATATTCGGTTGGCACGCAAGGTGCGTTGATGAACGACAGAGAAACGACGATCGGCACTGCGCCGACGAGAGGCGCGGACGGTCGACAAGAGTCGAAGAGAGAGAGACTGCTCTGCCTGATGACGGCGCAGAAGCAAATCTGACGCTACGACCAGAACGCGACCGTCTGTCTGAGATTCGCCTTGAAACTGACACCTTCGCACGTGGTGCTCGTATGGGCATGCGCATGCCGGCGCATGCGCTTCGTACCGCTTGGTATAATGTCGGCGCGCTGCGAGGGGCTGGCTCCTTTGTTAATTACGTTTAAACTACATATAAGAGAGAGGAACTTACCCACTACATGTCTTGCAGAGGACCTTTCTCTTATACTCTACGTGTTTGGTGGCACCAGAATAAACATCTTCAAGTGTTACACTGTGACAAAGAGAGAGAGACAATGGGGTAAGGTATGTTAATCATAGAGGCAGTGGCACAGCAATAGGAAGAGGGTGAGATGGAGGCCGAGAGAGAACGCCAAGTCTCCACTAACTCTAGAGGAATGCCAATGGTCTCTGCTCGAGGCCTTCGTCTGCGACCTCCTCCAACTGTCAACATGAGAAGGGTCACATCTCAAGGGGAGTGAAAAAAATGTGGGGCCAACTCACAACCACCAAAGGAATCGCCACCAAAGAATTGCGAAAACAGCCCGCTGGGAAACATGTCTGTACAAAACAAACGATGTCATAATTACATCACCACCGATTCGTGTCCCTTTCCCAGACCCCGTCACCTGACATGGGACCCATCCCTCCTCCACCACTCTCTCGGACTCCGTCCATGCCGTATCTGTCGTACATCTCTCTCTTCTCTGAATCAGAGAGGATTTCGTAGGCTGTCTGCACCTCCTTGAACTGTAGCATGGGGCAAGGAACAGGTTCCATATATCACTCTCTACAGACGCACTCTAGCGTCACAATAGTAAACTAAGGTTTCTGGCAAGTTTTTTCACCTTCTCATCGTTCCCTCCCTCCCTGTCAGGATGATACTGCCTCGCGAGCCTGTGGTGCGCCTGCAAGACAGTCGGTCAGAATACACCAAGCCGAGAGATAATATTTGTTACCCTCTTGATGTCCGACAAGGAGGTGTTCTTGGGCACCCCCAGAATCTCGTACAAATCCCTCTCGGCCATTTCCACGCACACGGGTCGTGTCAGGGCGTACTCCAATTAACGCCCGGGACTCCACGGGTTGTACAAAACGCACCGAGCTAACTGGGGTGGGTTATGGCGAAAGCTCGGCGTCCAACGAGGAAGGATAAGCCACAGAAAGTACACTTGGACCAACTCCGCGTCTTTTCTGGAAGGTCTGGCCTTCGGAAACGGGGTACCCAACGTACGTGTGTACACGCGCGAATATTCTATCAATGACGTATAGATTGCGTCACGCCCGCAAACAAGCGCGCTCTCACATAATTATTACGCAATCGGCGCGTAACTCAGCTCAGAACTCATGCTCAGCTCAGAACGATGAAACTGTAAAAAAATGATTTCCTCAAATCTTCTCTAGTTCAAGGCGGAGTTCGTCGACAGCTCTTCGGAGCCGTCGTTCGTGTTCAGGGGAGACGGCATTGCGCAACCATTGCGAGCACTGTTTCAGAATGACGTCCCTCTGGATGGCAAAATGGACCTTCACTATGTCCTCAAACCCTGCATAATGGAGGAGTGATAGTCACATGTCCGATCACATGAGACCATGTGACGTATCACATGAGATCATGTGATCCACCTACCTGTGGGTGGATTCCTCAGTTGCTCCACCATGGCATAGCGCACTGTGTGCACCTGTATATCGGCATTGTAACCACGGCTACGGGTTTCCCCATCCTCGGTGTTGCGAATGGTCTCGTAGCCAGGTTCGTTGAACATGGGGTCGGGGATCATTATCATTCCCTGGATTGACAGCAACACCTGCAGTAGAGAACAACATGAACCTCCTGAGAGCCCTTATTCCCTTAACAATCTCGCCATTCTTCGGCAGTTTTAGTAATATCTTATCAACAGGCCGCAAGGCAAATACAAACAAAGCACTCGGGACAGGACCACATGGTTTTTCTACATGTACACACTAGGGGGGTGGGGTTTGAACCTGGAGTAAGGTTGATCTAAGCTGCTAGGGGGGGTGGGGTTTGAACCTGGAGTAAGGTTGATCTAAGCTGACATGTACACACTGAGGGGGTGGGGTTTGAACATGGAGTAAGGTTGATCTAAGCTGCTAGGGGGGGTGGGGTTTGAACCTGGAGTAAGGTTGATCTAATACACACTGAGGGGGTGGGGTTTGAACCTGGAGTAAGTTTGATCTGAGAGGGTCCCATTTCTCGGTGGCATCTCCGCCATGCCAAGTACCCAGTAGACTCAGACACACCTTCCCATCGGCATAGAGGTTCGGGTTGAACCTTTTCAGAGCAGGGGGGAGGGAGGGAGAGGGTTAGTCGGACTTCCAGCTATATACCACGCTGGTTTCCATTCCATACCTGATGGTGCCTCCTCCAGTGGTGGTCATGAAGACGATGGGGGGGTTGGTGGGGTAGGTATTCGGGTAGAGAATGTCAAACACAAAACAGCCGTGACTGTATGGAGTGTCGGCTGGTCCCGTGATGAGCACCCTCACCAGATCCAGCTTCTCCTCATCCTGTGGGGAACATTAAACTCCTGATATTCTTTCCTTCATCTTTCTCCACTCCTCCCCCCCTCATTCTTTTTCCTTTGCCCCCTATTGTCCTCCACCGCCCTCTTTCACCCTGTCTGCCTCTCCATAAGCTGACTGGGAAAGTGGTCAGCGACCCGAATCAAGTGGTGAGCGTAACTAACAATCTGTGGCCATCAAGCCATATACCACTGTGGTCTACAGCACCTTGTGGACCCTGATCTAATGTGTATACCTGTCTGAGGAAGATGGCTGAGTCAGGGTGGATGGGTAGTGATTCCTCCAAATGTTTCATCTCTCTCATTATTGCCTTCAACTTCACTGACCTGTGTAATATGAAATATACAAAGAGAGAGGAGGGAGAGGAAGGAGAGAAGACAAGAGGATAGTGAGAAAAGTGGAGTTGACAGAGGGAAAGAGGTCACAGAACCAGGAGGTGAGGAAAGAGGGAGAGGCGCCAGCCAAGAAGGCAAAGCGGAGACTGACCTTGGATCGAGGGTGCCCTGAGCCTTGCTGGCAAACAGATGCACGTCCTGAAGCTCGGCAGAGTCGTACTTTGACCCCTCCAGGGCAGCTTGGTAGAACTCCCGAAGATCGTCGTCTCTCGTGTCCTCGGCCTCTGCCTCGGTCTGCCAATCATCGTCACGGTTACCAGAGGCAGCCCCGTCAGGTCCCGATGAAGAATGAGAGGTGTCCATTGCTTCGGCTGTCTCCACCTCGGTCCTAAACCTCCCCACCTGAACACATGAGAGAAAGAGAGAGTTACTCCAAGTAACGGACGGGAAATTTGGTGGAAAAACCTGCATGACCAACAAACATTAGTGGAGAACCCCACCCACAAATGTTCACGGACAAAACTCTGCATTAGTTGCTCTTTGTCAAACACGAGATGCGAAAGATGATGAGCAGAAAAGGAAGGGTGCTGTGTGGCACTAGATCAACGTGGGTTATCATCACCTCCTCCAGAAAGGTGGAGAAGTTCCTCTGACTGGGAGGGTCCAGGAGACTGTGTCTGGTGAGGACGTTGGTCCAGCAGTCCACCACCGACTGGGTGAAGTCGGGGTGGGTGCTGAATGAGACCAGGAACCCCTCCGTTGGGGAGACGGCCTCACTCTGTCGACACTCCTGGGTCCACACTCGCAGGACGATGACCGCAATCTGCGACAGGAGCTTCTTGGGGTCAAAGTTGTACTTCTCTTTGTCCTTCACGTTTAGATCGGAGGCTTTGGACCCGCAGAGGACCTCCAGGAACCCCAGCATCTGTATGGGTGACAGAGAGAGTGGCGGGTGCAAGAATTTGCTGGTGTTGCTTCTTTAAAATTAGGCAAAAATTATTCCCATCGAAATTTTCAGTACTCCCTTAATTTTATTGCTTCTGCGAGAATGTTTGTAAGGAAAACTTGTGCACAAAAATCGTATCTGTTCACCACACACGGGCCTATAATATGATCTAAGGTATGGCTCTGAGTCAATGCAGCTCTATAGGAGCTGTACCACACACAGCCCCACACATGTGCATGGCGCTCATCTCTCTATCATACCGCGGCAGCAGTCCTCCGTGCAAGAGGAGGCCGGCAGAGGCACCGAGCCACCACCTCCATCTCTGACAGGGAGTCCAGGAGCTCCAGCTGCTTGTTGGCCTGCAGAAGGAAGCCTCGAGAGGCCCTCTTCTCTCCCGCCAGAAACCCCTCTTTCTCCCGCCTCTGGTGAGCTGGTAGGGAGTCCCACTGCCCCTCTGTTGGTGAGGGGTTAACGGAGAGTAGAGGGAGGAGAGGGGTTAACGGAGCACAAGAGAAGGGAGTTAAAGTGAGAGGTATGCAATAAGGAGCGACTAAAGAGAAAGAGAGGGCGAGTTCAATGTTGACGAAAAGGAACGATTTTAGGAAAGTTTGCAAGATTAATTGTCACTCAAGAGAGAGAGAGGGGGGAGAAAATAATATGGTTGCAAGAAACCATACCGTCCCTAGACACAGCTATGCCGCCACATGTAGCAGTAATTAACCAGACAATAAGTGGCTGGAGTATCGATTAATGCGCCGACCAACAGCCATCAGGATTGCCTGGCTAAAAGGCTGCCCATCTGCACCCTACCACAAGTTATAGTACACTAACAAACCGCAATAAAAATGTCCATCAAAAAGAGGAGTAAACTTAAGGTGTCTCATTACGTTCTATCAGCAATTTCTTAAGCGAGCACTGTCGCAAAGAAAAACTAATATTATAGCGGGAAACTTCTCCAATTCAGTGGCATGTATAATATTTGCAGGAAAAACTTGTTTTTGAAATGCTCCCCTCACACACAAATGGTTGTTGATAGAAATGTTATCAGTTGGTCCTTCAACTGCGACAAGTTTTCCATTCTAAACCTACTGAAGAGGAGAAGAAGGGACAAAAGAAGGCGAGACTCACTGTCCTTGGCGACCTCTTGCTGCCTCACGTTCACCAGTCGCGACAGCCCGTCATTCAGCTGGTAGAGGAGGGTGTCGTAAATGGCCCCCAGGAAGGCCTGAAATTTGGGTCCCCCACAGGCCTCGAGGATCGACTGGCGACAGTCCTCTCGCTGCCACAGCCTCAGCAACAGTCGAGCTATCTCAAACCTGCGTCAACAGTGGAACACTTCTCTATGGACGCCCCTCAAATGAGGACACCTCTCTGGTAAGGAAATCGAAATCTTCCCCCAAGAACAGTTCTCGCATGCAATTTAACCCTTAAAATATGGACACACACACACACACACACACCTATACTATATACACTGTATAGCATGAAGGTATTAGACCATGTGCTATGTATAATCGTGTAGTTACTAAAACAATAGTCCCATTAGCGAAATGGTCGACCTGGTGGCATATTTGTCAAAGTTCTCTCTATCCACGTCCAGACCTTCGACTACGTTCACCTCTGCATACGTATGGAGTAGGGCGGGGCCCAGATGATCCCTGACTGTCGGACTCGCCTGCACGATGGCCGACAGCTCTCCGAGAATACCGCTGTGATGATGTAATGATGATGTAATGGGTAATTGGAAGGAGGGGTTTAGTGATACTCACCCCCAGCTCTGGGCCCCCAGTAGCCGACTGGAAGAGGGGAGGGAGGAAAAAACAAACATCAATGCAACCAGTCTACTCAAAGCAAGGCAACACAATACTGCAGTCACTGCGAGTGGTTATGGGGGGCGAGGTTTATTCAATGAGACCACTAGCCAAACAAACTACACTATCCTTTAGTGTGATACAGGGTATGTGTGGAGGTGATGTGAGTGCTGGATCACTGACCCAGCCTGAGGACCTCTCTGGTCACTGTCTACAAAAGCCAGGAGGACTGAGACGATCCTGCTCTGGGCCAGAGGGTTGGGCAGGAGGTCTGGTCTCTCCAGCAGAGTCACACAGCAGTCCACGAATGGAGTCACCTGCAGCGAGAGGGAGAAGAGGAGAGAGAGAAAATGTATGGTGTAAGCTGGAACCCCTCTCTATAAGGACACCCCTGAAATAATGACACTTTGTCTTTCCCCAAGAACACTTTTTAATCCATGAAATAGGGACACCTCACTAACATGGACACATTTTATTCTGTCCATTGTTGTTCACTGTCTCTAGCACAGTGTACCTACCTATGTACCTGGAGACCTGCATACCTGGAGACCCTGGAGGAGGATTGGTCTCATTAGAACCACGACCCTGAACCACACGGTCATGTCTCTGACGCAGAACTCTGGCAGACCACTCATCACCTTTCTCTGTCTCTCCTCCACCGCCTCTCGCGTCCCTCCCTCCTACACAATGCGTATACAGCAAAACCTTCAAATATGTTCGGCAAAACCATCCCGACGCAGTACAGTGTAAAGTAGTTACTACTGTTCTTCAGTAAGTGCGGCTCGCAAAAAGACCTGCCATTTTACACAACTCGCGACAGCTTCCAGTTCTACTGTACATCGTATAAAGGGAAAACTTTCTATTTTCTACCTGATTGGCTTCTGCCACAAAAGCTTTTTACGACACAAAAATATTCTTTTGCTCGTGAATGCATGACACGCATATACTTTACAGAGACGGAAAATTGGTAAAATTCTCTGAAAGAAGAAAATAGTATGTACATACGTACTTGGCTACATTTCTCCAAGATATGTATGATCCAGACAGACTGAGTGATGTAGAACTGGCTGGCCTCCTGGACGAGTTGAGGGTCCAGCAGACAGCAGGTCCCCGTGAGCAGGTACAGCTGTGGGGAGAGAGAGAGAGGACGGAGTTAGTGTGTGTGAAGAAGGGGGGAGAGAGAGGGGAGAGAAAGAGGGCAAAGTATGGAAGATGAAAGAAGGCTGGAAGGGTATATACTGAAAACTGAAAGAAAAGGTTGAGTGAAAAAAGGGGCACGTACAGCGTTCAATTCCTTCAGTAGTTTCTCGTTCCTGTCAGGGACTTCGGCCGCAATCTCCTTGCTGAGATCAGACAGTATCGTGGTGAATGAGTTGAGGGCGGGGATGAGGCCAACGTGCAGCGCCCTCTGAGCAACGTAGAAACACTCGCACACAAACTTGAACGGAGAACCATCGGGGGAAAACCGTGCTGGGCCAGTTTTGAGCCTCTCCTCTGCACCTGGGAACAGAAAGGGTTAAAAATGACGAGAGAAGCAAAACAACTCAGGAGAGAGAGTTTTAAACTTTAAAAAACAGAGGAGTTCTGGGAAGGAAAGACAGGCAGAAATGGTGAAAATGAGCAGAATTCAGGGGTTGGGAAGAGTTAGGAGCTCAGGGGTTAAAAACTGCTGAAGGAGCGAGGGGGTTAAAAAACACTGACTGATGATGGTCTGTGCGAAGCAGGGTTCTCCGTGAAGGTCCAGCCGTGAGAAGGGAGAGGAGGGGTAGTCGGGAGATATGAGACTCAGTTTGGGGCCCGAGGGGCTGCCGGTGAAGAACGGTTTACACAATTCCAGAATGACGGCACAGAAGTTCACCATGTAACCTGCCGGCAAGGGATTTGCGAGAGGTGAGTCAATCCTTGGGTAGAATTTAGTACGTGACGTGAGAACGGAATAATTCTTTGAGTTTCACCGTTTATGATACGATCTCTTTGAAGTGCTACTCTTAATAGACCTAATTATGTAGTTTTCGATCCTTAGCTTCATTTCTTCGATATTTAAACTTACACATTTCTTCTGTACTTAAACTTCAATCACAACAAAAGGTGGGTGCGGCTCACCGTCTGAGCATGCTCCAGCTACCCCCTCTCCACGTTTGAACCTTGGACCCGTCCTCCCTTCATTCAGAGACACCACTGCTGCCATCCACCCAACGGCACTGCACACACACAAGTGCATGGTTTAGTGTCCAGAAACAACGTGAAGCGAACCTGCTTCTCTTGGGTGAGCGGAGGACTTTGAGAAGAGCAGTGGTGACCAGTTTCTGGCAGCGGTGAAGCCCCTGTTGCAGCAGAGCCTATTCGGAAACAGACGTGAGTGAAACATTTTCCACACGACACAGAGAAAGAGGCAGTCTAATAATGTAAATACCAGTACATCCTGAAATGTCGTAGCTGGCCTTACGTGGCAATTCACCACTTCCCCCACCCTCCCACATCACACACACACCCTCCCACACACACAGATACACTACTCACAAAGCAGCTCTCAGCGTCGCTGGTACGGACGTCAGGAAAGTTAGGCAGAGTCCTGAAGCAGCTGTACTTCTCTAGAGCCAGGACCAGGGGGTTGGGTTTCAGTATCAGGAGGCTGGACCCCAGCAGGCCAGAGAACATGGCAGAGGTTTCAAACAAGTCACCCTACACAGGAGAGAGAGGAGAGAAGAGAGAGAGAGGGAGGAGAGAGAGAGAGGAGAGAGAGAGAGAGAGAGGGAGGAGAGAGAGGGGAGGAGAGAGAGAGAGGAGAGAGAGATAGAGAAGAGAGAGAGATAAGGCCAGAGACCACAAGGCATTTGTACACCACTATCAGTGGTAAGATCTAATCATGGGGAAACAGGTGGCGGTTGCAACTGCCACTAACCAACCACAGCCCCAATCCAGTTTACACAGGTATATACCTGCTGCTGGGTGGCTTGCAATACTTCACTATCCATACCCTCTGCTACCATCTCTCCCACCAGAGGCTGCATGTATAAAGTGGGCATTTTAGAGTATCAGGAATTATGATATGATACCCACATACTGTACATACTGCATCCTACAGTACATACATTTACCATACATACATAGATCTACATACATAAGTGAGGAGAGCATCTAGACCATCCAGCATCATCCCACATTCTCTGATGATGTCATCCACTCTATATATAGACCAGGGAGAGGAGGGTTGATGGTACACTCTCAGGTTGAGAATTTTTTGACTCACTTTTTGACCTTTTTGATGTAGTCATTTACACTCTTGAACTGTTCAGTGAGAGGGGTGGGGAAGGGAGAGGAGAGATAGCAGAAGGAGAGAATGCGGTGCAAGGAGAGGAGAGAGCGAGCGGGAAGGTCGATGCGAAGAGAGACGAGAGAGCGCTCTCTTCGCCCTCTCCCTTCTTCGCTCTTGTTCACTTTCTCTTCTCCTCGCTCCCGTCTCTCTCTTTGCCTTTCTCTTCTCCCTCTCCCCTCTCTCTGTTTCCGTTCTCTCGCTGTCTCCCTCTCCTCTTTTCCATTTCGCTATTTCCTTCACTCTCTTAATCCTTTCTCTATACGCCTTCTCGTCTTTACGTTCTCTACTCCATCTCTCATCGATCTCTCTCTTATGATCACTGTGCTCATGCTCACCTCTCCCTTCTCTCTTTTTCTTTTCTCATATTCTCCTCTCTCCTTCTCTCTTTTGCCTCTCGCTTCTCCGTCTCGCCCTTCTCTCTTTCGTTTCTCTTCTGCTCTCTCCCTGCTCTACTTTTCCTTTCTACTGCTCCTCTACCTCCCTTCCGACTCTTTTTGCTTCTCTTCGCCTCTACCTTCTCTCCGTTCGCTCGTTTTTCCTTTGCTCTTCTCCTCTCCTCCCTGTCTCTCTTTATTCCTTCTCTTGCTACTCCGCTGCTCTCCCTTCTCTCTTTTTGTACCCTTTCTCTTCTCCCTCTCTCACCCTTTCTCTCTTTTTTGCCGCTTCCCCTCCGCTCCTTATTTTGTCCCTCGCGCACAGCGCGCCCGTCTCAGCGAGGGCGCTGGATTTCCCAGTGGAGCTCCCTCACATCATTAGTCCCCGGTACAGTAATGCGCTGTCTCTCTCTCTCCACGCGCGCTCTCCCCCACAAGCCAGCACATGCCTGCTGCCAGTTGTCCACACATTGGGCACCAATCGTGGCTTCCTGCCAGAATACACTAGCCTTAGACCAGACCAATACGCTAGTGGTTGCGGCCCACTGAGGCACACCAGGAACCTTGTATCTTGGTAAGCCGCCAATTAAAAAATCATTACGGGGAATTATCGATACAGCTGTGATAGCTGTCAGCAGAGCTAGGGTCTTCAAGACCACTGTGGGGTCTTCTTCCCGCAACTAATGGACCGAAACTCAGTAGAAATCAACCATCTACATACATTGTCAGCACCACGTGGCACCATTGGTGCTGTAGTGTCTAGTCAGAGATTTCATTCACAGATAGCTACACCACGAACATGTTTACGCATTCGTTACCAAACTGTTGACTCAGCACCAGAGAAGCCATTGAGAGGTCAAAGGTGACTACAGGCACACTTGATGTATTGATAAACGGGGTCCGTGCACATTATTATGTGCTGAAGCGTGACAAACAGAAAAATCTTAATTTCCTGAGTGTGACTCATATATATACTTCCACTCAAGAAAACTAACAAAGTGCGATTGCAATCAAACATGGCAGTCAGAGAAAGGTGCTCACCGATTGGACGATGACACCCCGACCTTGCTGGCTGGTACTGCAGCTGAAGACGAGGCTGGAGAGCATCTCAGAGGACCTGCATCTCCCC